CTCCCCCTGCTTGTGTTCCCTCTCTCGCTGTGTCTCTCTCTGTCAAATAAATAAATAAAATCTTAAAAAATAAATAAATAAATAAATAAATAAATATGTATATACTTGTCATATTATCTTAGTACATTCATATTTTAAAGTTTGATATATAAAACAAAAATATTTAGGGAAGCTCTGCTATTGACCACAGTGACAAAGAAACACACATGTTAAGAAAAATACCTGAAAATATCCCAACTGTGGACATTAAAATACATTTTTTTAGCCAAGGTTTTCATTTTATATCATAGACTCACTAGTTGTTGCTAAGAGTAAGTTAAAAGAAGAACAATTATTTACCCTAAACTATCAGACAAATATAATATGGATAGACAACAGATGGCCCTTCTAGAAATTAGTCAGTAATACCTGTGAGCTTTTATACATGCCAGGCATTGTGCTAAGCATTTCAAAGGCATTGACCCATTTAATCCTCACAACAACCAGTGAAATCGGTCCTAATAGAATCCTTATTTTCCTGATGGATTAAATAACTTACCCAACTAGTAAGTAGTAGAGCTGAGATTAAGTACCCATGGATATTTGTGGGACTCTACCAGTGGTACTAGCTAGCTAAATGTGATGAAAGTAATTTGCTAAATTGTAGAGAAATAATTTCCAGAAATTGTATTACTCCTTCCAGATTTAAGCATTTGATTTCAAGCAAGCAGAAGTAGGTCTGATTTTGTATGTTCTTGTATATGTTGTTTTGTATTTATTGGCATTAGAGTAAATATGTTTTTATGTAGACTTGGCCCTTACAGACCTTAGGAAAAGGTAGCTAAATTGAGGGGTAAAATTAGCAACAATGTGTTATGTCCTTTTTAAATCTGAGAACATAAAATAGGTTTTACTTTCCTAAAAAGATAGAGGAGACTAACTTCTGGAAGCACAGAGCGGGGAAGCAGCCTAGGTCAGTGGTTACTAGCACCAAGCCCTACTTGGTAACCCTGTCTTTTATGTGATTACTCTAGTGTGAGCTTGGGGATGTTGATGTCAATTTTCTCCTTTGTTAAATGAAGATGATAATACCTGTCTCATAGACTTTTTGTGAGAATTTCATGACAGCGCATTGTAAATCGGCTGGAAAGTGCCCAGTATGTGCTATAGGTATTGATTTTCATCGTTGTCACTGTTGCACAGAAACTTCAGTGTTGCTAAGAGAATACATATGAAGTATTCTCACCTCACAGAAAAAAAGGTAACTCTGTGAGGTGATGAATGGTTAAAATAGCTTGATTGTGGTCATCATTTCATAATTCTCTATATATCAAATCATCATGTTGTACACCTTAAATAGATACAATTTTTATTTATACCTCAATACAGCCGGGGAAAAAATCAAAAGAACTTGAAGATCTCAGTGCATA